TACTCCGTGGTAGTTTCATATCATCAACAGCGTCACAAACAGAAACGAATAAATCTGTTCCTCTGGTTTGCCCTTTAAGGCTTTTGAGGTCAAGCAGCTCCTCTGTCACGTTCATGTTGCCATCAACTCCTCTTTAAAAAATAACTAGTTGTGCAGTGTCAGATGCATCGGTGCTTTCATCGCAGGCTGATGAGAAAGAATCAAAAGCCACTCCTCTGTCCCCCAGTTGTCTCTGAATATCTGACGATATGTCCTCAACTCGCCGTGCCACAGTGTTGCGTGCCAGGCAAACATTCATAAATTCTTGCTTCTTCTCGGGCCAAATGTTCTCCACCATTTTCATGACACCATCTTTGATAAACGCACCTTCAGTAAAAGGTTTGCCATGTTTAGCTATTAACATGGGCACTTAGTAGCTGGCTTTGGTGATGTTTTCCTTTGACTCACAGGCCCGCGTGAAGAATCGCTGTTGCGATGCCAGAGCAGCACGGAGTTGCTTCACTTTTTCAGCGCGGTCACTCCCTGTTAGCTTGTCGTATGTTGTAGCATGTTTAGTCTCGTAGTGACTCGTTATGTTGAAATCCTTAAACAAGGCAACCGTCTCTATACAAATTAGACAAACACAATTGCCTCGATTTCCAGTGAAGAAGTATTGTAATTCCCACCGCTCCTGAAAGCGGCGGCCCTCACTGTCAACTTTTCTCTTTTTTTTTTGCAGTCGCCGCGGCAGAAATTACTCGAGAAGGGTTCGCGGCACGGATGCAAAGCCAGAGAGCATTAGAATGGTGCTGCCACCGTATGGTGAAAGGAGGAATTACATCTTTAAAGTTTTATTATTTATTTATTCTGACAGAGCTAGCGAGCCATAAATTACACATTATAAGACCGAAGCTGCGGGCCGTAGGAAATCTGACCGCGGGCCGTACTTTGGACATGCCTGCTGTAGACCTACTGCCGGTGTCGTCGCCCTCTCCTACATTAACATTAGCTGCCCCGCCCATCTCTAAACCTTTATAAACAGCTTGCCCTCAGAGGCTAACCTCCCTGTTCCTGAGGACGACCGCTTGTGTTGCGATCGAAACGTCGTGATTTTTTTTATTTACTTTATTTTTATTATCGCATTATTATTTTTTTTATATCTACGTGACTTTACCGAAAGAACCATAGAATATGAATTCCTCCTGTCACGAAAGTTTTAAGTCAAAATTTAAGCACTGTGATACAAAAACGTCGTGGCGTCTCTTGGCCATATGTAAAAATGTTGCTGTGGGGGGGGGGGGGGGTCTAAACACCCATAACACCAAGTGTCAGAAATTGATAAAGAAATTTAGAAATAGACTGTTGATTTAGCAAATGTCATTTCCACATTGTTAACAAAGTTACCTTCCAAATTTACTTACAACATCCGTTTGGCCAGTCGCTGAACCTCGGGCAAAAACAATCTCTAGAATTCGAAGCGCACTATACTATTACTCGAATTTCACGAGATGAGATCACCCATTGTGCAATCCCCAGATGCGAGCTGATTTGGTCACGTGCTGTGCGAGATTTTGTATTCATTTCAGATATCGGATGAGGCCGATTCAGTTTGCCCTTCAGCCGCATTGATGATCACTCGAAGCAATGTATTGAAAAGATTCTTTAAGGCCACCGATTGGCCTCGTTGCTTGATGTTTCCTCATAATTAACTTTGATGAGTGGTTTTATTATCGAATAATAGGTTTGAGCCATGAGATAGCAGGCATTAAAAAAACGGTTATTTTCAATGTGCAACAATGTACCCTCAAAATAAATTTAAAATCTGCTAAAATGCTACATTTGTAAACTAACTATTTAGATTGTATGATGGCATTGAGTAGCGTAATAACAATTTTAATGTGTCAATTTTATTGAGAGACTGTTGTTTTATTGCTGTGGTCTGGGACTGTTGTTGTTTTGCTGCCTTGCCCAAACTTGCATTTAGTGTTGAAAAGTCGGTAGGAATTGATATACTTTTGCTATTTGTTCTCACATTTTATTTATTTTTGTTTATTTTTAGTGACTTGCTTACATTTCCTACACTTTGCACTCCGATCGCTTTTTCTGTTGCTTGACTTTCATTATTATTAAATGTATTTTTAACTGTATAGAATTGTTTAACATCTTAACTGTTTTGTTGCCAGAAAAAAGGGGAAACCCCTATTATCACCTCCTGTTTTATTGCCAGAAAGAGTCAAACCTATTTTTATTTTTTCTATCGTTCGCACTGTTACCGAGCCGTCAAACTCAACAAAGGTAAAAAAAAAATCCTCATCTGGGTTTCCAGCAGAGAGTGAGAAACAATATCACACCGAGTGCTCTCATGGCGAAAATCAACACGGGGAGACGTCTACAGCGCAGCGCAGCGCGAGAACACCATTGAGATAGGAATTTGCTGACACGATGCATTGCCTATCTGTCGCGTATCTGTCCTGGCCAATGATGTGGCCCGCCCAGTTCCGAGAAAATAGCCCGCGATGAGTTTTAAAAAAAGCAAAGCGACAGCCTTGAGGTAGTCCCCTCATTGATTAAATAGCTCATCGGATTCCTCCCGTATAAATACATATTCTGATATTTACCGTTCATTTATTACCGCTCGTTCCATATGTCTTGTTACGTTTGGAGTTTTGCTTGAAGAAGGCCGATATTGCAAACCGCGTAGTAAAAGTTCCAGTTTTGTAATCTAAGTCACCTCGCTAAGCATTTTCCCCAAGTTGACAGCAGTCTGAACTTTGCTGTTGTCTAGTGATCGATTTGTGCACGGTAAAAAAACGATTTATGTACATGCTCACATAGCTCACTGTTCGCATACCCATCTATACCTCATGCCATAGAGAGTCAGATATGCGGCATTGTACTTTACACGAGATATCAGAGTTCTCTTTGATTCTGTGGACAATTAAAAAATGCGTATTAAAACCTATTTATACCTTTCCGCTTACTAAACTTTAAGTTCATTTAGTAAATGGCTTCAAAAAATGTATTTATGATGTAAAAAAATTTACGCTGCCTGCTGCTGCTGTTTCCTGTACATCGCTTTGAGATCCTTGATGAAAAGCCGCGATATAAATGGAGTTATTATTATGTGCATTACACATTGGATTGCATTTTCATTCTTAGCTTTGTATGCTCTGCAAGGTCATGCAGCGTATATCTCAATTGCAAAGAACAAATGCATTCCCTTAGGCCCTCTGGAAGAATTGGTTTACCAAGCACGTGTTCACATCCGAGATGTGATGTAACACGGACAATGATTGACAATGATTGAATCTAATGCGTAACAATGTAGGAACTAAATCGGGGCACATAAATCTTGACTTAAAGCTTTCGTGACTGCAGGAATTCATTTTCTTGGGTCTTTAGGTAAAGTCACGTAAATAGTTTTTTTGTTATTTTCTTTGAACCTATCTACGTGACTTTATCGAAAGACCCAAGAATATAAGGGCACAATTGATCAACAAACTCAATGAGGGCCTACGTCTTTAATAAATGCAGTGGATAGCAAGAGGTTCAAAAACCCTCGTCCTCACATTCCACGTAGGCAGCATGGCAGGGATTCCATAGCCGTCAAGCCACACGGTTTACCCCGTATTCTTGCACAAGAAAATTGAGTTTTCAGGTCCATACGGCGTACAGCCGTTTCAATACGGGCAAAAATAATAAAAATGTGTCTATTTGTTTGTGTTTCTCCCTTGTGATGGGACTTTGCAGGATGAACGTTGAGATGTATAAGGGACACGGGGTGACCACTAAGGGGTGACTTGGTCTGTAACAAGGTGGGGCACTGATAAGGGGTTGGCAGCTCTGGAATTCTATACAAGGAAATCTGTCTGCTGGGCCGATTTAAAATAAACAAATAACAGGCAATTTAGAGAACTAACGTAAAATATAAGAATATATATGGCAATTAACCGAGGTGAATGCTTAATTTCAAAAGATGGAAAATAGACTTATTAAACAGCCCAATGCTGTAATAGTTCATTCACATTTCAGCGATGTTAATTTATCGTCCCAATGATGATGACGGCCGCGTGACTCCGCGGAGGCAATGAGCGCGCTCGCTCTATCGCACCAAAGACAAGGAATTTAAAACGGGAGTTTGCAGAAATTCGGCCGAGAGTTACGCACGTGCAACTTTGCACCAACTCCGCACGGATGATTCGCAACTCAATGACAACAACAAAATGAACACGAACACAGGAGGAGGTAGAAAGAATGACATCGTGAAAGAATGGAATTGACACGAACGGTGGGAGTGCCGTCACTTATAGTCACTTTAAGATGTTTTCTTGTTCATGTTTTTGTTTTTTGTTTGATGCGGTTGCACCCGATTCAAGAGCCGAATGGCTCACAGGGCGATACAAAATAAATGGAAAAAAAACGAAAGCAACGAAACGTTACTGTCACTCTAGAGCGAACACGACACGGGGAAGATAAATGATGACATTCGAATCAATTTCGCTTCAGATTTAGTTTTCAGTTTTCACCGGCTCCCGTGAAACTCCCCACCAAACGCGTTTTAGTTGCGGCAGCAGCAGCAGCAGACGCAGCAGCGGCGTCAGTGGCTGCTGCTGCGTCCGGCGTGGCTCGACCCTGAGCGGCCTCGCCCCTCGCGTGCCCGCGGCCTCGTGCGCGCTCTGGCCCCGTGGCCCCATGTCACCTCCCTGGCAAACCGGTTTGCGTGCGTGTGCGTGTGAACATACAGGTAGGGGGTTTTGTTTTTAATATATCCCAGTGGGAGGAGCCAATCACTCGCCTGACCAGTCTAGCCACATTTCCACCCCCCTCACCCCACTTTGCAAGATAATGACCCAAATATTTACGATCGTAAATCGGCGCACAATCTGGACGGGTGCCTCCGTGCCACGCCGTGCCTCGAACTCTCTTCGCTCCTCCCTCCTCCCTCCTCCCATTGTCTCCTCCTCAAGCTCCTCCTCCGTGTCATCGTAGCTCACCGGTCACAGCGCAGTTCTCGATGTCTTTGGGCCCCCTGAGACGTCCACTCGAGGAGACGTGAGGCCACTCGAGGAGACCCGCGGCCACTTGCAAGACGAGAAGCAGGAGGGGCGGCAGGGCGCAGCTCCTTCCCAGCGATGTTGGAGCGTGGATTTCTGGGTGGCCTCCTGAGCCGTGCAATGAACCTGCAGCAGCAGATCGCGGTGAACGCAGAGGACGAACTGTACCTGCTCCAGCACAAGAGGTGAGTCCTGCCCGGCTGTTGCGGTCCGCTGCGCCACTTGGTCCGGTAGTCGAGGAGGGTTCCTCCTCGTCACCTGCTCCAACACGAGTGGCGATTTCTGTGCGTCGCAGGCGACGAGCACGGTGGTGCGACAGGTGCTCGGACTCGTCGACGCACCCTCGCTTGTCCGTGCAGACCCGTGCCCTGCCAAGGGGACTCTCCGCTTGTCGTGATCGATCTGTGCTGGTGGAACGTTTCCATGAGAATCATTAAGTTATTCCCGTGACCCCCCCCCCCCCCCCACTCACGCTGCCCTTCCTGTGGCCCCCTACGACTCCGTCTCGCAGGATCCGGGAGACCCCGCTGTTCACGGCCGCCAAGAGCAATGACGTGGAGGCCATCGACAGGCTGCACAAGCAGGGCGACACGGACCTCCTGCAGCGCGGTGAGTGGCACACGAGGAGGGACACGGAGAGCAACAGGTACCCGGTGAAGACAGAGACACAGAGAGCAATAGGGACACGGGAAGGCAGACACACAGAGACACAGAGCGCAATAGGGACACGGTGAAGACACAGAGACACAGAGAGCAATAGGGACACGGTGAATACACAGAGAGCAATAGGGACACGGGAAGACAGAGAGACACAGAGACACGGAGACGTGGGAGGGACATGGACGAGGCATGAGACATACGTCAACACCGGGAAGCAGAGGTAACAACGCAGACATGGAGAGACCCAAAGAGACCCAGATACACAAAGGGACTGATGAAGACTTATTCGAGAAACGTCAAGGGATAGGGAAAGACGCCGTAAGGTGCAGTGTATTTTATAACTGATTACATTACCGGCAAAATTATGTAATCTTTTATTTAAGATGAAACTTTTAACTTGCGCGTTCGGTGTTGTTGCTATAATTTTTTGGTTTGTGGTAACAACAAAAATGAACGTTTTTATTTAATAACAAAAATGTTTCAACTAAAGTTAAGAAATGTTTACAATGAAAGGAAGGCGGTGGGCAAAAAACAGAATTGCTTCTGAAGGCCACGATCCACTAGGGCCATCGCTGATGATCACGATCACAAACAGGCATGACCGATGAGCCACAGTAGCGGCTTGGGGAGAGTTCTCAGATGTCAGGATGCGGTAGCAGCAGCGGTGGCCACGCTGCCACGTGTGTGTGTGTGGAGCCCCGAAGTGCGATGGGCGCGTCGCGTGTGCCCGTCACGGGGTGTAACGCGTGGGGTGTCTGCTGTGGGGTGGTGTAACGTGTGGTGTAACGTGTGGTGTGGTGTGATGTCTGATGCGGTGTGGTGCAGTGTAGTGCGTGTGCTGTAATGCGTGGTATGGTGTGCCGTGGTGTGGTGCAGTGTAGTGCGTGTGGTGTAACGCGTGGTGCAGTGTAGTATTGTGGTGTAACGCGTGGTGCAGAGTGGTGTAACGAATGATGCGGTGTGCCGCGCGTGGTGTAACGCGTGTTGCGGTGTGGTGCAGAGTGGTGTAACGCATGATGCGGTGTGGTGTAACGCATGGTGCGGAGTGGTGTAACGCATGGTGCGGTGTGCCGCGCGTGGTGTAACGCGCGTGGTGTAACGCGTGGTGCGGTGTGCTGCGGAGTGGTGTAACGCATGGTGCGGTGTGCTGCGGAGTGGTGTAACGCGTGGAGTAACATGCAGTGTGGGGTGGTGTAACGTGTGTTGCGGTGTGGTGTAACGTGTGATGCGGTGCGGTGTAACGTGCGGTGCGGTGTGGGTGGTGTAACGCGTGGTGTACCGTGCGGTGTGGTGTAACGTGTGATGCGGTGCGGTGTAACGTGTGATGCGGTGAGGTGTAACGTGCGGTGCGGTGTGGGTGGTGTAACGCGTGGTGTACCGTGCGGTGCGGTGTGGTGTAACGCGTGGTGTACCATGTGGTGTGGGTGGTGTAACGCGTGGTGTACCGTGCGGTGCGGTGTGGTGCGGTGTGGTGTAGGGGTGCTGGGCGAGACGGCCCTCCACGTGGCCGTGCAGTACGAGAACCTGGGCGCGGCGCTCGCCCTCCTGGACGCGGAGCCCACGCTCATCAACGAGCCCATGACCTCCAGCCTCTACCAAGGTAACCACGCACTCCACCATGGTAACCACAGAGCAGCAAGGTAACTACTCGTTCTACCGTGGAAATCAGAACGCGAACTCTGGTCATCTTCGTAGCAGCGTCTTTTGGCTGGCCGTCGAACAAAGACGGTCGATGCATCGCGCGCTTTCAGATGCAGCTTCTGCAGCTGTCTGGAATGCTCTTCCTTACAATATTAGGTCGCCACTGGGATCTATGCACGTTTAAATCGGCTAGAATGAACACTCATTTATTTCGAACAGCTTTTTGGGGTTTTGTTGTCCTTCCGCTCCTCCGATGAGCACGGTTGACTACGTACGGTGCGAAAGAAGTTCAACATACATACAATCATGAGCTTCTACCTTGGAAACCATTTTCAGGGTACCTGACAGACCTTCACGGCTCCTGTAGCGGGCTCGAGCAAACACAAAATTCCCTCCATGCTTCACTCTGAGAGAATCCCACTTAGGTCTGTTATCCAGCCTCCACCATACAGACGTGGGGATTACACAACGGTGCCCATATGCTGTGCTGAAGAAAATATACATTTTACAATATGAAAAATAAGAATAGGTTTTACCCTTTCTGACAATGAAACAGGAGGTGTTGAGATGTTCAAACACCAAATAGAACCCTTATGCAAGGAATCAAGTCTGCATTAACCACACGTACTTGTGGTGAACGTACAAACAAACTCTGATAATATAATCTTGATTTGAATTTTTCGTGACTGCAGGAATCCATGCTCTTTGGTTCTTTCGGTAAAGTCACGTAGGTATAAAATAAGTATATCTGATAATATATGATGCGTTGTCTTTGAAACTGGTTGGCCTACACCAGAGACAGCCTTCTTGTGGCCTAGTCTCACCACGCCACAAGGCGAACAGCACACAGGCAATGTGGCCTAGTCTCACCACGCCACAAGGCGGACAGCACACAGACAATGTGGCCTAGTCTCACCACGCCACAAGGCGGTCAGCACACAGACAATGTGGCCTAGACTCACCACGCCACAAGGCGGTCAGCACACAGACAATGTGGCCTAGTCTCACCACGCCACAAGGAGGTCAGCACACAGACAATGTGGCCTAGTCTCACCACGAACAGCACACAGACAATGTGTCCTAGTCTCACCACGAACAGCACACAGACAATGTGGCCTAGTCTCACCACGAACAGCACACAGACAATGTGGCCTAGTCTGACCACGCCACAAGGCGGACAGCACACAGACAATGTGTCCTAGTCTCACCACGCCACAAGGCGGTCAGCACACAGACAATGTGGCCTAGACTCACCACGCCACAAGGCGGTCAGCACACAGACAATGTGGCCTAGACTCACCACGCCACAAGGCGGTCAGCACACAGACAATGTGGCCTAGTCTCACCACGCCACAAGGCGGATAGCACACAGACAATGCGGCCTAGTCTCACCACGCCACAAGGCGGACAGCACACAGACAATGCGGCCTAGTCTCATCACGAACAGCACACAGACAATGCACACATCAGAGCATTTATAGCTCGGGGTGAGCAGCTATATCATGGGATACCTTTTTGTTTCGACATATTAACACCTGTTTTATTGCCAGAAAGGGTAAACCCGATTCTTATGTTTCATGCTTTGATACTGGCAAAAAGGTCCCATGATAAATGTTACAATATATAATAAAAATCACAATTTGTTTGTACCCATAGGTACAGTACGGTGCATTCGCGTATGTTTAATGTTTCGTAAGCTCTTCTTGAAAACGAATTGTTCTCTCTATGTCGGGATGTTGTTTTCAAATAAGGCTTCATTATCCACAAGCCTGCGTGCAAGCGAAAGGGTTTTGCAAAGCTTAACGATAAACTGTGGACTATTTGCAAAAAAACGGTGTCACTTTCCCACTGTTTATTACAAAAGATTCCCCCCCCCCCCCCCCCCCCCCCAAAACCATGAACCACAGATGGCTTTCAACGTCAGGTGGTACCGACGAGTGAAAAGGTCTGCTTCCGAATCGATGCACGTACGGCCCCGTGTGTCCCCGCAGGTCAGACGGCGCTGCACACCGCCGTGCTCAACCAGAACGTGGAGCTGGCGAAACAGCTCCTGGCACGTGGGGCAAATGCAGTGTCGCCGCGTGCCACCGGCACCTACTTCACCGACAAACACCGCAGCCATGCTCACTACGGTACACCCACAGCGCACCTTCCGCTCGCCGCGGTGCGACCACAGTATTGCACGTACCGCCGCTGTACAACAACGGATAACCGCATTCACCGCGGCACCAGAGTTGACCGTGGCTATGAATTTTAGTGGTTTTAGCTGTCTGTCGGCAGGAAATTCAAACGGTTCGTGGATCCTCCATCTCTGCAAAATCCCTACCTCTAGAGCTCTGTATAACGAGTGGTCACTGCACGGCATGTGCTGCGTGTGCTACGTGCCCCCCAGGCGAGTACGTGCTGTCATTCGCCGCGAGCACGGGGAACCTGGAGATGGTGCGACTGCTCCTGAAGCACGGGGCCAGGGTGTGTGCACAGGACTCCCAAGGTAAGAAGCTGCAACCTCCTGGAAGTGCCCTTGTCCCTCGACCGCATCGGACACTTATACCCCAACGCCTTCTTAAATGCGATGCTCAAAACGTTGAGCGGCCAAAATCCTTGGATGCTCAACAAGGAGACATGGCGAGCTGGCGAGCCTCTACCCCATCAGCCCTGCCCACTTTTACAGAATCACAATCTGTATTTGTACTCCAGGAGGAATGCGATGAGCTATAAAGCTCTTTTTCAAAGATGTCTGGTCGGGCACGGGGTAAAAACGTGACAACAACAAACACGAAAGTGGTGCAAAGTACAAGAAAGGTAAACAAATTACCCAAACACAAACACATAAAACGAAACCATCCCCATCCGACCAGGCGAAGCCCACTGAGGTGTTCACTTATTTTTTTAAAGTGACCTAGCCACAAATTATTGCTCAACAAGTGCCTTATCATTTGGACATTTCTAGCAGCAAAATAATGTTTTAAAAAATGGTCTAAACGCATGTTTCTAAATGTGGTGGGAAAAACCGGAGGACCCGGAAAAAAAATCAACACGAATGGTCTCGCTCATAGGCCACCCACCTACTCCACTACCAATGCTGTCCACTTACCAGGTTAGTCCCTCCTCCTTTGCTATATTTTGGTGCGATAATTGTCCAAATGATGGGGCCACTTTATTGAGCGATCATTTGTGGCCAGGCCACTTCTGAAAAATAAGCGAACACCTCAGTGGGCTTTGCGTGATAGGATGGGGATGTTTTAGTGTCGTATTTGTTTGTGTTTGGGTGATTTGTTTACCTTTCTTGTACTTTGCACTCCTGTCGTGTTTTGTACTCTTTGTTGTTGTAACGTTCTGACCCGCCCCTCCAGTATACTCTTATACAAGCGCACAACTTTATATATCTGTGATGATAAGTCAAGCGTGAGGACACTTTCTGTCGTTTTAATGCAGGGGGCGCTGAAAACCTACGTGCCCCCTGCATGAACGACGGAGGTGCAGGGACAGACGTTCGATTATGTTGGAATCGATCTGCAGACGGCGGTCTTCTCGCACGGCCAGCAGCTCCATGACGCCTTATCTCGATCCCGCAATCCCAAACGGATGAAAGTCCGCATCGAACCGAACCCCCAGCAAGGTCATCTACTTAACGACGAGAGAAAATTCACACGAAATGTCATTTTCAATTAAGTCTTCCAGATGTAAAATTATATAAGCTTTTAATGAAGAAATAAAATGATTTAATTCAAAACATAATACAATTCAAAGATGTTTCATTTTAAAACTTCAAAACGGAGCATCGGATGCTTGCGTGAATGTGTCGTTCGTGTGCAATTCTTTTTTCGTGACTTTCCTGGCCGAAGGCCATAAATGGCACCGCAGGTGCCCCCTCACAACCCCTAGTAGATTAATATCAAGCGTGAGGGCAGAAAATATCATACCGGGACAAAATTCCAGACTTTTTTTTTGCAAATGTTTCATGATACCAGGGAGAGCCTCTGACAGCAGGCCTGTCCCGGTCGAAACCAGAACATTCGGTAGCTTTAGCCCAACACTTGGTCAAACATGCAAGCACCGTGTTCCACTCGTCCACGTGCGAGGCGAGAAGCATCTCATTCTCTCGCCGCCGCCGACGCCACCAACAACAACAACCGTCATTCGCAACGGCGCTTGCACCAGGCTAAGTGCACTTTAAGGCCACGTGAAGTGTCGAACGCCCGCTGGCAGGAGGTCAAAGGACAGACCCAGGTGCCACGGGTTGACTGACTGAGATGACCGGCTGATGCGCCACCACCATGCGCCCATTGTGTGCTCCCACAACTCAGGCAACACGGTCCTACACACGCTGGTGCTGCATAAGAACCGCATCATCGCCTGCCAGATGTACGACTTCATCCTGGCGAGCACACAGAGGGGCAAGGGCCAGCCTTGCCCGGAGGCGGTGCTCAACTGCAAAGGCTACACCCCCCTCAAGCTCGCTGCAGCCAAGGGCAACGTGGTGGTGAGAGCCTCATCCTCCCGCAGTCACCCTGAAACCTTCCTTCGCAAAAACGCACCGCTTACATCATCATGGCCAGCCGTGATACAAAAATACCGCTGGATGCAGGCTTTCATCAAGCCATCGCCATAATTAATATTGCGATAGCTGTCAACCCATACGGTTTACCCCGTATTCTTGTACAGGGAAATTGAGTTTTCAGGTCCATACGGCGTACAGCCGTTTCATTATAGGCAATAAAATAAAATGTCTATTTGTTTGTGTTTCTTCCTTGTGATTGGACTTTGTAGGATGAACGTTGAGATGAATACGGGGCACGGGGTGACCAATAAGGTCTGAATTGGTCTGTAGTAGGGTAGGAAACACTGATAAGGGGTTGACAGGTATGCCACCAGCACTACCATCAGCACCACCATCAGCGCCACCACCAGCACCACCACCATCGTCACCAGTACCATCAACACCAAAACAAAAACAAAGATCCCCGGTATAGCCTTGAACAGACTGTTGGGGCAGGTGCTGTAAGCGAACACCGATGGAGGCCGAACGGTACAGGAGGGGGTGGGTGGCCAGCACTATTCCCGACCGCCTTTGTCTCCCTAGTAGCGATGTGTATACCGCACCAGGTTACTCATTAGAGACTGAGTCGACCTAAGGGAGGCCCAGTACCAGTTCAGATATATAAGGGCACAGAGTCACCACTAAGGTGTGAATTGTTCTGTAATGAGGGAGGAAGCACTGATAAGGGGTTGACAGGTATGGTGTACATGCAGTCGACCATCGATTTATCCGGCACCGCGCGATTGTCCGGCTGCCGCTTCTCAATGTTATCCGGCGGTCCCGGGCCGATCCGGCAAAACCGCTCCAATGGCTGTAACCCAGTTACACAAGTTGTTGAAACGAGAGTGTAGTTAGTTCTGCGTACATCACCCCATGCAGAGTCTTCTACATTAGAGTGGTAAGTACGGCACAGTAAATACAGTAACTTTTTACAGGAGGATATAAATTCGCGTCTATTTGTATGCTTATTTATGTCAATTTCATATAGTTACTGAATAAAAAAAAACATATACACAACACCTCAAACATGTTATGCAAGAATGTGCAAAATTAAGCTGTTTAAAATAATGATGTGGTGCTTATCCCGTGTTTTTTAAAATCCGGGGCAACCTGAACATTTGTTTCCTCTGCTTATTCATTTCTATTTTCACACCCATCGGTATGCAAAAATGTTACGTTTTAGAGAGTTAAATCTGGACCATCCTGAATATAAAATTCCTCCAGCCATTTTAAGATTATAATCTATATTCTTTTTCAAGGTTATCCTCTTTCTCCCGAAAGGCGGCATTTGTGGATTGCCCACCGTCAAACTGTCTTTATGCTACTCTCATGCTGTTATTGCTTGCAATGCCATCTTCAAAATTGAGTGCTGTTTTTCCGACATTTTTTCTCACCCGTTTTCCTAAAAGTTACGAAGCTCTGTGCATTCACTTCCTTGTTAAGAGTGTGGGGCGGCCACTCGTCCGCACAGGCGAACTGGGGCGGTCACCTAGGGCCCCAAGTTAAGTGGGGGGGAGGGGGTGCCAAATTGGAGGGAAAAAATATAAATAAATACAACATTAAAATAAATAAATAGCACAAATAACTGATACCTTTATACAAGGTATCATGTTTGCAATAACAACAACACAAGTAGTCACAACACAAGTAGTCAAAATGCATTTTGACTACTTGTGTTGTGGTTATTGCAAACATGATACCTTGTATAAAGGTGTCAGTTTAGTACCAGTTTAGTACCAGTTTAAAGGGTAAAAACCTACTACTATCGGTCTGACAGCCGGACGGATGGACAAACCCGAATAATTAGGCCTCTGTAAAAAAAAAATCCGCTTACAAAAACATTAAATGTAAAATAGGGTAACAAGTTTCCCAGTTTACCCAAAACGCCTCAGCCTAGATCTGCCCTTGGGGTTTGGGGGTCGCCTATTCCGTGGTTCACCACGGGCGCCAGGTGCTGGCAGCCCGTCTAGGCCGCCCCTGTTAAGCGTCTGCATCTCTTTGTACCTCTCTCTCCTCTTTATCATATCTTTCGTAGTTTCACAACAATTTGCTTTCTGCTTGCATCCCAACAGAATGTACAGAATGTCTCAATACAACCATATCTTATGATACTATATACAACAGCAACACGTGCGCTTCATGGGCACAAACTGAGAAATTGAGGTCTATATATATATTTTTAAAGGCACAGTTGAAGGGGTGCCACGGTTCGAGATGTTAACTCCCTCACCCGGTATACAGGAAGTCGTCGATTCGATCCCGACCCTGACGCCTGTATTTTTGGAGTTTGCATGTTCTCCCCGTGGTCGCGTGGATTTTTCTGCGGGTCCTCCGCTTTTTCCCTCCACATTTAGAAACATGCATTTAGAGTATACATGTCCTAATGTCCACATGATGATAAGCCACTTCGTTGAGCTATCATTTGTGATAGCCAGGTGGCTATCAGTGGGGCCTTACCTGGTAGAATAAAATAAAAACAGTTTATAGTATGAGAAGGGTCAGAGACTCAATGAGGCTTTACTCCATAAAGATAGGGCATTGCAACTCGGATATCCAGAGTAATGTGGGGGAGGGCGGTGGCCGATAACACATTCCTGCGGAGGGAGCTGGTAGTAACGTTGGGTTGCACGGTCAATGGCCTGCAGGGTCAACGGCGGCGTAGTGTATTCCGCAAATATGCCCGACTGTGAGGGCGGGCACAAGCCGGTGTGAGTAGGTTAAACGTTGAGTTTTTTAAGGGCACCACGGGGTGACCAGCCCCTCCCCACCCAGCCCCACCCCTCCCACCCCCCACCCAGCCCCACCCTCCCCACCCAGCCCCTCCCTACCCTACCCTCCCCACCCAGCCCCACCCCTCCCACCCCCCCACCCAGCCCCACCCTCCCCACCCAGCCCCTCCCTGCACGATGGACACAATAATCCCTTGTGGGCTGGTGTAACCAGGAGGTTCCTACCAGTAACATACATATAGAGATAGCCACCTAGTCAGTGCCTGTGACAACAGCATCACTGAACAACCCACCAAACCAGTAGGGAGAACCGGATGAAGATAAGGTATTAAATGCACGATTTTGTGTACCGACGCAGAATGGGAGCCAGCACAGTACGTACAATGTTTTTCAGACACAGTGTCACGAATGGGTGTGATCTAATCTAATGATTAATTGTATACAACATAGTTCATGCAAGTTGCATCTTACAATTGTTGAGCAACCGCGGATAAGCTGTAAGGCTATAAACTAAACAAGTTGTATTTTATTTTACCAGGTAAGGCCCACTGAGCTGTGGAGCTCTTTTTCAGAAGCCACCTGGCCACAAGTGACAGCTCAAAGAAGTGAATCATCATGTAGAAATGTACAGCAGCCAAATACTCTAAATGGTTGTTTCTAAATGTGGAGGGAAAAACCGGAGGACGTGGAGAAAAACCCATGCGACCACAGGGAGAGACACGCAAACTCCAAATATACAGCAGCAGGCGTCAGAGTCGGGATCGAACCCACGACCTCCTACATACCAGGCTCTGCAGCTCTCTCTGTATGAACATGTTTTCAACCAATTAGTGTTTGTCCATGTGGGAGGAAACCAGAACACCCGGAGAAAACTCTACGCATGTGAGGGGGCAACACTTAATCCCCTACAGATCGGACAGATTTTGTCAGTCCACACTTCGGTGTACTGCAGCGGTGGAAAAATTTCGTCTCGCGAGCCGCATGCGGCGCTTTAATCCACCATGTGCGGCTCTATCGAAGGGGCATAACGTAGAACGTACTATCACAGTAACAGAGAAAAATGAATGTCTCCCGTGCTTTGCTGAAAACTGTAAATATATAAACGTATATATATAACCTTGGCTGTTTGCAGAACTCACGAGTACTTTTTGCCTGTTGGTCTGTTACAGGTTGGCTACCCCTGCTGTACTGCGTAGTAGGCGCGTGGCCTACGAGCGTTAGGTAGGGGTCAACGTATGATGAATGTTCCTTGTCACCTCAGATGTTCAGGCACCTGGTGAAGCTTCGCAGAGTGGTACAGTGGTCGGTGGGCACCGTGACGTCCACCCTGTATGACCTCAGCGAGATCGACTCGTGGGAGGACGATCGCTCGGTGCTGGAGATCATCACCACGAGCCACAAGCGCGAGGTCTGACGGAGCGCACCGCCTTGCGCCATCACCGCCACCACCACCACCACCTTGCACCAGCACCACTGCCACCTTGCGCCACCACCGCCACCACCACCTTGCACCACCACTGCTACCACCACCTTGCACCACCACTGCCACCACCGTGTACCACCTCCGCCACCTTGCACCACCGCCATCACCGCCACCACCGCCACCACCTTGCACCACCACCATCTTGCACCACCACCACCACCAACTTGCACCACCACCTTGCACCACCACCGTGCTTCTTTCTCAGAGAGGCACCGACCGCCACGTGCTCACGTGATGTGTTTGTGCAATTTGTACTTTTATACTTTATTTACTTTTTTTGAGTGACTTGCTTGGCTTCCCAATATTTTGCTCTCCTATCGGTTTTTTTATCGTTTCTTGCTGAAACTCTCTGACCTGCCCCTACTGGACAAAACGAGCTTCACAGCTCATGAGATTCTTCCAGTCTCAATAAAGGTTCTGAGCTGGTGCTGGGCTAAACGTCCAACAACGCCGGCAACTTGCTGACGACGGGGTCAAATTGCTTTGCCACCCCTCAGGCTCGCCAGATCCTGGAGATAACCCCAGTGAAGGAGCTGACCATAATCAAGTGGACGCAGTATGGGCGGAGCTACTTCCGCATGTGGACCATGCTCTACATGGTCTACATCACCAGCTTCTCGCTCGCCTGCATCTACCGGCCCCTAATGATGCGCACGGACAACGCCACGGATCCACGCGACGACGTCATCCTTGTCCAGAAACCCCTGTCCGTACGTGGAAACTCTCAAGACTCGCTGCCAACACGTTAAACCTAACTCGTGACACCTCATGCCCACGCACACGTTGCTACCTATCAACACTGTGCAGAGCTACTAACCTCCAACAAATTATGGGCACCGCAGTGGCTAGACATTCACTACCTCGTCTGGTCTACAGGAGGTCGTAGGTTCGATTCCGACCCTGACGCCTGCTGTATATTTGGAGTCTGCGTGTGTCTCTCCCTGTGGTCGCGTGGATTTTTCTCACCACATTTAGAGTCAACATCATGCATTTAGAGTATTTGGCTGCTTTAAATTTCCACACAATAAGACCACCTCGTTGAGCTATCATTTGTGACCAGTTCGCTTCTGAAGAGCTATACAGCTCAGTGGGCCTTACCTGGTAAAATGTTGAACACAAATGTAAGTTTAAATGTACTCAACTGACAGTGGTACACAAGGACGGATAACAAAACACCGTGGCCTTAATCAAGTATATACCAGGCAACGTTTTGGGGAAATGGCCCTTGTTTAATAGTACATAAACCCTTCAAAAGCTACATTGTCAACACCACATTCCTATATATAACAACAACTCCGTATACATCATACACAATCTTCATGATCTTCAACCTAATACTACACTCATTTAAACTACACCCTGTGTACACTGCACTGATAACCTGAGTGGACTTGCCGACTACTGGCACCAGCGGTGTCAATATCGGCCTCTATGGAGGAGGCTCGTGAAGTACGCTGCTGCTGCTGGGCAGTTGGAGGCAGTCGCCCTCCAACAACAACGGAGGGCAGAGGAGCGACGCTCACAACAACAAGCGGAGTGCCGGGTGGATAAAATCCGGCGAGTTGGCACAGTAGGGGTGGGGGTACATCTGGGGCATCTGCCAGTCATCTCAGTCAGTGAACCCGTGGCACCTGCTGGGTCTGTCCCGTGACCCCCTGCCAGCGAGCCTTTGACACTTCACGTGGCCTCAAAGTGCACCTGGCCTGGCACAGGCGCCGTGGTGACGACACCGCCACTTGGTGGCGAATGGCGGCTATTGGTATTGGTGATAACCTGTGCACATTAAAGCCCAACACTACCGACTACACCCATGAAAACTACACCCTACGTACACGACTCATAGCTGTGCACGTGACAACCTACACTCATTTACCTACTCATCATTAAACAATTATAATGTCAACAACGCTGAGCTAAACTTTACACCAAAAATAATTTGACACTTGTTTTTCAACACATACAACAACGCATTGTAATAACGTATTTTTTTCAAATTGTGTTATAACTTATTCAATGTAATGCTTACAATATTGTAAACCGCAAAGCACTACACTATCTTTTTCATTTTACATAGCAGCCAAAAGTTCTCGACAAACGTGACGCTTTTCACGATTAAGTTCGCAATTAATTCACTGTTAGACAATGTAAAACATTTAAACTTTTAAAAGTTTAATTCTATGAATGTTGATTTGTCGCAAGCCTGGCACCTCCTCAAACCCCTCACATCCACAACCCTGAGGTAAATGTGTCTACATTATATTCCGACATTTTATTGATTAATCCTGTACAAACTCTGTAACTAACACAGTGAACCATGACCGTAACGTATTGATTTATCAATTTGTAATTCATTAATTGTAAGGCCGAGAAAGCGAGAAAGCCTCGGGCCTTACCTTTGCCACTGTGCATATTAATTCTGAGGGAAAACATCGTTTAACTTGTGATGCATTATTCTCACACAGTAAATTAAAACATATGAAGTTAATCTGTAAAATCACCTAAATATTGCCAAACTAAACTTGGATTAAACGCAAGCGAACGCATAAACAATGCTGAGGTAAACTTTACTCAAACAAATCTGCTTATGCAATTACTTGACAACACGTCATTACAGTGTAAAACAATAACGACTATTATTCAATAAAATTGCACATTAAAGCATTATTAAATGCAAAACTTAATTTTTTTACGAAGGTAAAGTCAGTCTCATTCAATATGCACGTGTACCTTCCAAATCTTTCAATGCAGCGCAACATTTTAACACTACCCACCAACTTTAACAATCTACAACTTTACAAAATATCACACTCCACGATGCGAGTAGCTGTGTACGACCATTAGGAGAAAATAACAAACAACAAAAAAGTTTTGCTGGCTGGCGCGCGGGCGGGAAAGCCTCGCCAGCTCGCGCCACGCCGGCCGTGTGTCGCACGCAAATGCGCGGGCGGGTGCGCGTTCAAATCTTCAGAACGTCCCCAGTAACCCAGTGGCCCTCACTCATTGCGAGGCCCGCATGGCCACTGGCGGCCCGGCCCCCCCCCCCCCCCCCCGGTGACCTTTAGAGCGGCCCCTGATGGTCCGGCCCCCCACAAAACGTGAAAACACCGCCCATCATCATCATCACCATCGTGCTGCTGTCAAACCTCCAATGGTTTCAAATAATGTGTGTGGCGGGCCCTCACACTAATGATGTCTTATCGGCACAAGTGCCCCCCCCCCCCTTCTGAACATCAGTGAAGAACACTGGAATAACCTCACCCTCCGGTGATTAAATTCCATAGCTGTCAACCCCTTATCAGTGCCCTACCTTATTACAGACGAATTCAGACCTTATTGGTCACCCCCGTGCCCTTTTAAATCTCAATGTTCATCCTTCAAAGCCCGTAATGAAACGGCTGTACGCCGTATGGACTTGAAAACTCAATTCCCCTGTACAAGAATATGGGTAAACCGTAATGAGTTGACGGGTATGAAATTCGATCCCACAATGGCCACCGCATTAACACGACTGCACTCAATGGACTCCCCTTTGAACACAAGTAACAACTGCCACCCAAACTCACGACTCACATCAGGGGCGACTATTTGAACCGGTCCTGGGACTCCTCGAGGTCAACTCAGTACAAAAAAACATCAGAACCGGGGAGACAAAGGCGGCCGGGCGTGGTTCTGGCCACACCACCCTCCTCTTGTGCCATGCCCGACATTAATAGGCGCTCGCTAACATCACTTGCCCCGACAGCCTCTCTGTCCTGAAAAGGTTCAACTCGCCAGCAAACATGATTTTAAACAATTTATTTCATTTGCATCAGATCGCCGCCCAAGTTGAAATGTGTGTCATAAAGCCTCCACCACCCGACGCAGACAATTAATAAAGCTGCAACGTGAATGAACGTGGTCAGTTTGTTACCGCTTCAGCCCACCGCCGGTGCGTTGAAGCAGTTAAAAAAAAACTAAATGTAATATTGGTCACGAAGGCTCATGCGTTAAATTGACCCAGAGCCCCACGTGCCAATGTTGGCTCAAGGTCATACCAACTTTCTTCCATGTTTACTGGGTATTGTCCTGTGAAAGGCCCATGTGAATGAAGTGTGCCAGTGTCGTGGCAAGGGAAAACTCCCTCCCCTGGGCACCAACACGTCTCGATACGGCACCAAAGAAGTGCCTCGATGCTCTGCAGAACTGACGGGAAGCTGTTTGACGTGGCCGTGCAGGAGAGCTACCAGACTCAGCAGGACTTTGTGCGACTCGGGGGCGAGATCGTCAGCATCCTCGGGGCCATTCTCATCCTCGTGCTGGAGGTGAGAGCCCACACAGAATGTGTTTATTTAGACGGAGGAGAAATCCGATGATCTACAGAGCTCCTTACTTCACAGATGTCCAGGAAGGGGCACGGGGTCAGAAAGTAGAGGGGGAGCGAGAAGGCGTGCGTGCGTGTGATACAACGCGGCGAGGTGGCACAGAAGAGGTGTTGCATCTGCCAGTCATTTCGGTCAGTCAACCCATAACACTCGGGGTGGTCTGTTCGGTGACCTCCTGCCAGCGAGCCTTCGACACAAATCAAGTCCGTTTACTTTTGGTTAACATGTGGCGCCTTTCTGGCATATAAATCTGCCGGACCAAAGCACCGTCACTTGCTTAAACATAAAAATAAACTATTCTATAGAGTTAAAAAAATAATGATTATGAAAAATCGTGGCCTTAACGTGCACCTAGCCTGGCACAAACGTCGTGGTGGCATCAACGCCACTTAGTAGTGAACAGTGGCTGTTGTTGTTGCGGATTCAGTGTGGTTGCGGGCGTTCAGGGATTTCGTGTTTACAAGGTCGCAGTGGCCCAGTACGCATGGCGACGTTGTGCCAACAGTCCGTGTTAAATGGAGGCTGTGCCGGCCGGCCTTTCATAAGTGCTGCTCGCTAACAGCACTTGTCCCAACAATCTGTTTTGACGACACGGGGGATGTTTGTTTTGTGTTTGCCCAACAATAATTATTAGAGTGGGGCGGTATGTTCCAGTGTGCCAGATTTATTCACTAATTTTCAGAGGGGGGGGGGGGGGGTGGGGCAGTTTCGCTGATAAGACATCACCAGTGTGAGGGCCGCCATCATACATGTGAAACCATTTGGGGGTTTCACAGCATGATGATGATGGGTGGGGTGTTGTCACTATTTGTGGATTGTGGGGGGGGGGACACTAAAGGCCTCCCAGGGGCCGTCAGTGGCCCACGGCCCCCGCAATGAAGAACACCTGCGGTATGCATACGGGCAGTGCCAGATTATCCCAGTAGCAAAAGGAGCTACATATGCTACGGGCCCCACACTTTCAAGGGCCCCGCGTATAATTATTTCAAGCTATAAATTCCGGTTCAGTGATTCTGCTCTATTACTATTGTACTATACTGCCTGCAAATTTAATGAACGACTGGGTGTTTAAAGTTAGCGATTTGTTGTATTATCTGGCTGTGTAGAAAATGAAAAAAAATTTGTGTTTTAATATTTCTGTTATATATTTTTTTATTTAGGGCCCCTTTATAACATATGCTACAGGCCCCCACTAGCTTGATCCGGCACTGCATACCGGTAATAAAAAAATGGACAGCGTGACATTAATTACAGCAAAAAAATAATTTAAAGGGAACGAAAATAGGATTTGCATTTGGGAAGCGAACTTGTTTTGTTACAGCTGTGTGCACCAGAGACGTCTCTATCTCCCTCGCTCTCTGCCCCTCAGATGCTGGATGTCATTCGCGTCGGGGCCTCGCGATATTTTGGAAACATCGTGACTGGCGGCCATTTCCACATGATCCTGTAAAGACACAAAACACTCAACCCCAAATGCTTCCAAAACCCTCGCAACCACACTGATCACCGAGCAACTACTAAACGTCCTGGAGTGGCTTCAGCAAGTCCCCATTTCACAGAATGGATGTCCCGGTTATCCCCGAATTATTTGTAAAAATTGGAATCTTGCCCCCGGTTTAAAATCTTCTGATATCACGGTATGGCAAGTGGATGAGTCCATCGTCAGTGTGAGCAGGGCCTCGTGGATGAGTGGGCGTGGAGAGCGGTGGTGCAGCGGTTAGCACGCTGCGTTACGAACCCGGAGCCCGAGTTCGATTCCCGCTCACGGCCAACATCGGTGACGATTATCTGAAACTGGTGCAGTGTGCGAACATTGACTGCTAGAGAATACAAAGGCGGTCGCGCGTTGGTGCTGGCCACCCACCCCCTGGTGTGCCGTGTTGTTCCTTCATAGGTGCCTGATAACAGCACTGGCTCCAACAGTCTGATGAAGGCTATATGGGGGATCTTTGTCTCCGTGCTTATTACAAGTGGGCGGAGTTAATAGAAAGCTCACCATGTGTCCCAGTTGAGCCTCCCAGAAATGTGTAATCTGTACACCTGCACGGTGCAGCTGTATGCACTATATTTAAAGTGACTTGAGGACGGGTCCTGCAGCGCCAAGAGTTACACTCAACGTGGCTACGTGGTGATTGGCCCCCATCAATCACATTCGAATGGCTACGGGGGCAAGGGTGGCACGGGCCCTCGGTGCAAGGGTTGGAACTGGGTGTCCCCCTTTCCAAATTCTCCCGCCTCTCCGTAGCCCAGCGTCTGGGCCGCTATTGCCCGTGGGCCCTGGTGCCATTTGTACCACCGGCAGCAAGCAGCCTCCATAGCGTCGCCACCGCCATTCCGCACGAATGGACCCAAACGCGACAGAGCGGAAACCTGAAGCTGCGTTCTCTTCTGTGAGAGGAAATCAAAGGGCTCGCTGTGGTTCGATGTCAACATCTCGTCACCGCGGGTAGCCATGGTGGCGAGTTTGCGGTGCCTCTCTCCCCGTGGTCGCCTGGATTTTTTTCTCCGGGTCCTCCAGTTTTTCCCCTCCACATTTAGTAATTAACATCACGCGTTCAGAGTTTTCGGTTGCCATACATTTGCACACGCCGCTACTGTTGAGCTATCATTTGTGTAGCTTGTTTAAAAAAAGCTATGAAGCTCAGTGGGCCTTATCTGGTCAAATAAAATAAAAGAGTTTTCAGTTTAGTTTCAATGACACGGAGGCTGTGTTCGCGCGCGGCCCCAGGGTGTTCTTCGCATGCCCGTATGTAGCGAACCGTGCTAATCGGAGGTGCACCACCAAAGCTGTGTGTCGCACCGCTGCTTCGTGACGATGACAACGTTGGTGCCGCGTGTCCCCCCCCCCCCCCCCCAGGGTGTGCTACGCGTGCCTCGTGGGACTGCTCTTCGTCATGAGGCTCGCGGGCGCCCAGGGGGAGTCCGTGCCCATGTCGCTGGCGCTGGTGCTCGGCTGGTGCTACACGCTGTTCTTCGCTCATGGCGTCGAGATGCTGGGACCCTTCATGGTCACCATACAGAAGGTGCGACGCGGAGCCACGGAGCCTCCCGGGGGCACGACGTGCTACGGCAGTGCTCTTCACGAATTCTCACTTTCGCCGATGAGACGTCGTCAGTGTGAGGGGCCGCCACTCACGTTATTCGAAGCCATTGGGGGTTTGACAGCACGATGTTGATGGGGGGTGGGGGTGTTTTTTACAATTTGTGTGTTGTTGGGGGGCCGCACTAAAGGCCACCAGGGGCCACCAGCGGTCCGCAGACCTTGCAATGAAGAACGGTGTTCTGCTGCTACGACTTGGTAGCGGTTTTTGCCTGTTGGGTTTCCGATGAGATTTCTTCTAATTCCAGTGTAAATAAGATAATTCCCGCAGAGGACAGTTACGATAAATCGTACGAGTGGCCAGGACCACTCTTTAATATTTATTGTAACAATAATAATAAATTATATTGCATAATTAGTAACAAATAATCCTACAATCTTCTATATATTTATATAAAAAATGAAAGTCTGTCTGTTCCGACTATAAATCCACACCGTTTAAGCTATCGCCACCACACCCCGCGGAAAACCTGAGCTACATGGCGATCCGACATCTTCTATGAACACTAAGAACATCGCAAATATGAACGTCACCAATGGCATGAACAGGAATCACTTCCACAGCGAGTGCGGGACGATGATCATGCAATGTTGGGTGGTTGCTGGGTCGCCTGCCCCAGATCATT